ATGGCCTGATCTCTGATCAATAGACTTAACTCTCTCTCTCTCTCTCTCTCTCTCTCTCTCTCTAGCTCTCTCTCTCTCTCTCTCTCTCTCTCTCTCTCTCTCTCTCTCTCTCTCTCTCTCTCTTATCGATAGTTTAGTGTTAAAGCAAAAAAAAAATAAATAATAAATCTATCACTAACATTGAAGTATATATATCTAACATTGAAAATATAGGTTCAATGGTAGTGGTGATGGTAGTGGTGGTGGTGGAGGTGACGGTGCTGATGATAATAGTAGTGTGATTGTAATGTGTGGTATCATCTCACTGGTCGGTCCTATCATTTTTAATAATGATAATACAGTAATAACTGGTTATACAGTACTCTGTACTATACTCTTAGTATATGTAGATCTCTGACAAATAACTGTAAATCTTTTTATTATTATTTTTTTTTTTTGCTGTTGAGAAACACTTACTATTAAATAGGAGATACTCTGAGTGAGTGAGAGAGAGAGAGAGAGAGAGAGCAATAAAAAAATATATATTTATATATAAAGCAATTTGTCTTATATATTATAAAACATATTATTGTTATATGATATATATTATATATATATGGTATATAAAATATAATGGGATTTAGAAATCAATAGATAATTAGGTTAGAAGAAAAAATTACATACATTTACAGTATATATATATAAAGGAAAAGTTGCAGAAAAAATCATTACATCAATACATCATTAATATAGTGTTATATATATATATAATATATATGATATATATTATATATAAAAAGTGCATAAAATTGTGTATCACATAATCAGTCACTGGATTTTTTTTTGTTAGCTGTAAGTGAGTGTCAGATAGTTATGTATTACACATATACACACACATAGTATTACATACAACAACAAAAAATAAATAAAATTAATTATCATTTTATTTGATCTTAGATTAAACTTGAATTAGATATATATATATTATTTAGTAAATTAGTCGCTATTAGAGAGTTTTATAGTATATATATTAAGTATATACTGTATATATCTATCATAAAAAAATTAATGAATGAAATTTTTAATTAAATGTTTAATAAAAAAAATTGTATTCAATTGTAATTATATACAACTTTTTTATATGCAATGTGTGCGGTTATGTATAGTGGGGTTATCCTTGACACCAAACTACTGGTTCCCCCTTTAATTGGACGGGCATTTTCTGCAATATATATTGAATATATATACAGATACCCCAAACTCTCCTCTTTTTTTTACTAAAAAATTTTTTTTATTATATATTTTATATCTAAATTAGATTTTGATCCATAAATTATATACAATGTGTTGGTTAACACATAGCAAATACTGTAGATTAAGTAATAAACGTTTTGCAATACTTTTTTTTTTTTTGTTGACTAGCCTTTTGATGCAATTTTTTTTAATATATATATATATATAATAAAAAAACTGTTTCTATTATAAAGGGGGAAGAAATCATTATTTATTTTATATTAGTTAATAAAATGCCCACAGATTTGTCATATGATATGCCGTTATTTTTTTTAACGTTAGATTTCATTATTATTATTATATATTTTTTTTTGGGTGCAAACCATTTCATATAAAAAAAATATTATATAATTTTTTTTTTCACTGACTATAAATACAAGTAGTCTCACATCACTTTCAATTATTCAGTTCAATAGTCATTCATCAGTCAAGTACTAGTAGTAGTAGTCAACACATCAAACGATTTAATATTATATTTTATTTTTTTGTGGATTACAAGAGATTTTCTTCAATAGATTTAACATTTTTTTTGTTAAATACTGTATATATATATTATATATAAATATGAGTTTTAAAATTTTTGTAAGTCTTGTTATTTTATGTTTTTTTTTTGATTTTTTTTTTGTTAAATAGAGAAAAATAAGTTAAAAAGTTTTGTGTTTAGTTATTCTTATTATTATATTTTTGTAGGAATTTATATATACTGTATATATATTGATATAACTGACTGTCAAAAATCAAATTTTATTTGATTTATTTATTTTTTGACAATAATTATAATTGAATTATAAACTAATTATATATATTTATATATAGTGTGTGAAACTATAGAATTGATTTAATTTCTAATTTTTTTTTATATATATTTGATATATTTTTTAAAATTTAATTAATTATTCAACACTTACCCATCCCCTCCCCCCCGACAGAGTCTATTAGCCCTGTTCACAGTCGCCCAGTGCGGTGGCTATGGCGGTGGTTATGGTGGTGGTTATGGTGGTAGTAGTGGTGGATTCAGTGGTAGTCTAGGAGGTCTTAGCTTGGGTGGACATGGACTAGCCCTGGGTGGTGGTGGTCATGGTTTATCACTGGGTGGTATTGGTGGTGGTCACGGTGGTTTTGGACACGGTATTGAAGTTGGCCGCAATACACACACTACCCATACCGTACACGTTCCCGTTGATCGACCGGTAAGTTAGTCGAAAAATTATTAATTATTTTTTTCACCAAAATTTTTTAAATATATAAAAGTTTAGACATTATAATTAAATAGCTTTTTATTATTATTATATTAATAACTTTTTTATTTATATTAAAACAATATAGAAATTTTTTTTAATTTGTTATATTGAATTTTATTTATATATCATATTTATTTATTTTTAAAAAAAAATTGAATCATATATTTTTTCTATATATATATATATATATCACTTAACATTTATATATATATATATATATAAAGTTTAAAAATATATTTATTTGACAACATTTATAATAAATGTCGTGATTTTCCAGTATAGCAGTGAATATATATATATATATATATATATATATATATATATATATATATATATATATATATATATATATATATTATCCCATACTTTAATGCAATACATATAATATAAGTAAATATGATTTATATGATTGAAAGCCCACCAAAAAAACTACTATACAATACTATACTATTATATATATATATATATATATATAAACTAAAATTCAATATTATAAATATAAATTTATATTAAAAAAAACTGAAAAGTTTTATAAACAATAATTTTTTAAGTAAATATTTAAGAGAGATATATATATATAGTAAAAAAATAAATAACTAAAATATCATATATGCTATAATAAAAACAACCAAAAAATAATTGATGATTTAATGTTTGCTTTATAACAACAATAACAACAACACATATAAAAAGCAATTAGTTTTATTAGTATTTTATTTGATCATAAAAAATCATAATCATAATAATAATATTTTTATAAACATTTTTTTTGTTAAGTTTTATTATATATATATATTTGTTGTTTATTTTTTATTTAGGTGGCCGTCCCAGTTCCCCATCCGGTGCCAGTTATCCAACGTGTTGCCGTTCCCCACCCGGTACCAGTTGTCCGACACGTTCAAGTGCCAGGTATACATACTGTACACACATATATTTTTTAATTTAAACCTAATATATATTTGTTATTCAAAAAAAAAACAAACTACAGTTCCCGTTGTCCGGGAACGAGTAGTCCATGTCGATCGACCAGTTCCGGTACCGGTTGTCCAAAAAGTTGCCGTCCCAGTACCGCAGCCATACCCAGTTGAACGATTAGTTCATGTCGACCGACCAGTTGCCGTACCCGTCCGTGTTAATGTGCCAGTGCCCAGACCCTACCCAGTTGTACAACGAGTTAACGTACCCCAACCATACCCCGTTCATGTTGACCGACCAGTTCCCGTAGCCGTACCCCATCCCGTTGCCGTTCCGGTTGTCCAACGTGTCAAAGTACCAGTTGCCGTACCAGTTCATGTCCATTCACACTCAGCACCCGCCCTTAGTCTCGGTGGACACGGTTTTGGCGGTAGTTTCGGTGGCAGTTTCGGCGGCAGTGGTCACGGACTCAGTTTGGGAGGCGGCGGTTATGGCGGCAATGGTTACAAAGCCTAAGTGAAAGTGAGCTAAAAAATTAAATAAAAAAAAGATAAAAAATTTGACACAAAAACAAAAACCAATTGAACTTAACTTATGAAACATTAATGAAATATGTTTTTTATTTTATTAATGATTTTTATAAAAAAATTGTATAAAAATAACTTTCAAAAAAAATAATTAATTAATTAATTGTAAATTTTTTCTGAGCTTTTTTTTAAAAAAGAAATCTATGATTTCTAAATACTTTTGTAAATAGTTTTTTAATTTAATAATTTTTTTTTGTAATATATTTGATAAAAAAATTAATTTCAATAAATCGGCACCAATTATTCATAAAATATAAATTTTGATTTATTATTTAATATTAATTTATTATAATTACTGGTTATTAATTATAATCTTTTATATACTATCTATAACTGTATTAAATATATTTTCAATATATATATATATATATATATATTTAAATCTAAATATATCTATATATATATATATAAATATTTGAATCAAAATATTTGAATCAAAATATTTAAATCTAAATATTTAAATTTAAATATATCTATATATATATCTAAATATTTGAATCTAAATATTTGAATCTATATATTTAAATTTAAATATTTAAATCTAAATATATATATATATATATATATATATATATATATATATATAACTTATAAAAAAACAATATAATTCAAGAATATTCTGTATGTGTTTCCAAACAATACTACTACTAATACAGTACATGTGCTGACATGTATTGACTAATAATAAATTGTTTTTTTTTTGATCAAATTTATTTGTTACACTATATTACCTCAAACTTAAATAATATTTTATATGAATTTTAAGCTCAAAAAAATATATTTGTATATCAAACTAATGTAAAATATTTTTTTTTTTTAATTTCAAAAAATACATAATTATCATAACGTTATTATAAATAATTTTATTTATAAGTTATATAGTAATGCATTTAATTGCCAACACGTGTCAGCACACATGTGTCTCACACTTTAAAAAACAAACAAAACATATGACAACTAATACTGTATTTAATTAATTAAATTCAATAATTAATTTCAATTATAATATATATATCTAACAAATGATTCAACGATAAGACGTCGACAACAACTTCAAGACATGATGTCGTCTATCTATGAGATCACCAGTTGTTCACAATCTAAGCCATTGCTGACATTGGATGCGCTATTGAAGTGGTCGTCTGCTGAGTCGTCACCGCCGTCGGCAGCAGCGGTGGCGGCGGTCAGCGATGTTTGTTGCAAATGTGGGGACAGTTGTTGTAATGACAGTGATTTGCAAACATATAAGATATACGGATTGCCTGAAGAAGTAGAAGAAGAAGACATTGAAGACAACGACAACAACAAACACCGTCGCCGCAGCCGACGACGGAAGACACTGTTATGTCACGACATGAAAGGCGGTTATCTGGACGACCGCTACAACAGCGGTACCGACACTGACAATGCCTATCGATTCTTCATGTGGTCACTTATAGATGTATTCGTCTATTTTAGCCATCATTTTGTTACAATACCGCCAATCGGTTGGATAAACGCAGGCCATCGTAACGGTTGTCCTGTTTTGGGTACACTGATTGTCGAAGGATGGACTCAATCCAAGTCAATACTGGATGTTATGTTGAAGTCGACGACAATGATTGACGATTGTATCGAGAAGTTGGTCGATATTACCCGATATTATCACTTTGACGGCTGGCTTATCAATATTGAATCGCCAATCGATGTCCACGATGTCGATAATATGATCTATTTTGTTGGACAACTATCGGATAAAATGCATCGACTGGTCAACGGTAGCCGAAATCTAGTCATTTGGTACGACAGTGTTATCACTGATGGATCACTTAAATGGCAAAATGAATTGAATTTATTGAATAAACCTTTCTATGATGTCTGCGACGGTATATTCTTGAACTATACATGGAATCAATCAAATCTGATGCAGTCGTTAGAGATGTCCCGCAAAGACAATCGCAATTACGATGTCTATGTCGGTGTCGACGTATTTGGCCGAAACTGTTACGGCGGCGGCGGACTCAATACCAATCTGGCTGTGCAGGAGATTGTCAAACATGATCTATCGGTAGCCATATTTGCCAGCGGATGGACCTATGAAGTTATGGGCGAAGAAAACTTTACGGAAAATGAATACCATTTTTGGTCACTACTTGCCGACATAGATGACCAACAGTTGGCGACGACGACGACGACGGCCACTACCGCCACCGCAACAACACATCGCAAAAAGTGTCGACAATTTCCGATAATCACTTCATTTTGTCAAGGATTTGGTCCGCGAGGACTATTCAGATGCGGACAACTGACCACAACTGAGAAGTGGTATAATTTATCTGAACAACAGCTGCAGCCGACAAATCATACGGACGTCCAGATCTATACGGACGAGGCATTCAATGGCGGCGGTTGTCTGCGACTAAAGTCTCAATCGGTTTACTCCCTGTTTGATTGTCAGCTGACTATCAGTCGTCGTCCTCATCAGTGGCGATGGTTTTATGCCATCACTTATAAGTTTCTTAATAATAAAAATTTAAATTTATTGACAATTTTAAGATATCAATTGAATAGTACTGATAGTACTTCTGGTAATAATTTCAAGACATTAACTCTATGTTGCAGTGATAGTAGTCATAACCAATTGATTACCACCAGTGATGATGACGACAACGACAATACTACTAATGAATTCTTTTCGATTCAGTTAATCGATTACCGAAACCCCGATTCTTCATTGATGGTCGAATTAATCGAAAAATATAACAACAAATTTGGTATATTTGAACCGAAAAACAATTGGATAACTAACGGGTTTCTGATTGAATACCGACCAATTGGTGCCGCCGCCGATGATGGCCATGTAGTGGTCGTCAATGGGATTGACCTGAAAGTAGTGTCGTCGTCGTCGTCGACCACCACCACCACCGATGCCGATGACAGTAGTAATGGCGTACAGAAGCCGCGCACCGCCGCCGCCATCGACGCCGATGTCTTAGTCGGACACTTGATATTTGATAACATTTGTTAATAATTTTTATCAACACTTATAGGATATATATATATATATATTATATTTTTTATATACTATATTACATATTGAATTTTAAGTTATTTTTTTTTTGAAAATTTTAATTATTTAATTAATAAAATAAATAAAAGTTGAACCTTGATTAATTTTTTTTAAAGCACATACAGTATAAATCTGCATACATGTGACTCATATTATGCATAATATTTGATTGACTGTCTAAGTGTAACAGTCAAGGGTGTATGATTGTACTGTATATGTGTGTCTGTTAATTAAATTTAATAGTTTAGTTATTATAATTATAAATATATATACAATTGTTTTTATGTGTATATTATTAGGGTTAGGTAAGGGGGTAATGCCAAAATACCCCACCCCCTTAAGATCGAGATTTTGGGATTTTACACCCCAGACTTTTTGACCAAATGGGAAAATTGAATCTAATTATTGATTAACAAAAATAATAAGTAAAATAACGTTAAAACTCATCTAAAAAATAACATTATTTTAATATTAAAATATTAAACTAAAAAAAAAATTAAAAAAATTACCTATTTGTTGAAAAAGAGTAATCATATTACAATTTAAATAGAATTTTAAGATAGTTTAATAAAACAACAAATACTTATATAATATAAAGTTTTTATTAAAAAAAAAATTAATATAACTAAAACTTTTAATGAAAATTGAGTTAAATAATTAGTATTCAGTCAGTATTTGTATAAAAATAACATTTAAAAAATAAATATATATATATATACTATAAACATTAAGTATTATTTAAAAAATTAATTATGTTAAAAGTTGAAAAATTATTTTCCTAGGAATTTATACGTAAACTTATGGGAACTTTATGGAATTTACGTGGGAATATTCGGGAATTTAAGGGAATTTATTTCTTGACCCTCCCACCCTATACCCCCAAGATTTTTCGACAATTTTGTAAATTTCACCCCGGTCTACCCCCCCCCACCTTAAAATCCTAGACCTTGCTTAACCCTGATATATATATATGTTAATTAATATATGATTGAATATATATTAACTAAACAATAAGTTAGAAATTGTTAATTAATTTTTTTTTTACAATTATATATATATAAATAAATATTTATTACATTGATTAGTATTATTATTATTATAAAATTAATATATAATATAAAAACTTTTAAACAGTATTATAAAGTTTTTTAATACTGTATATACTGTATAAAAATAATAATAATAATTTATACACTAATTTCTACTATGCTTTCAATATTCTACTTACCCCCTCCCCCACCCCGCCCACTAGATATTGGGGTGGGTGGTGGGTGAAGGGGGGGGGTAGAAACAGTTATACAGTACTTACAGTAATAATAAATACAGTATAAAACTGTTAAACACAAAACAACAACAAAAATCAATAATTAAATACCATATATAGTGTTATACTGTAATAGGAATGCCTGTAATAATAATATATCATATTATTTAACATATTATACACTGTAGAGTCTAGACAGTTATTAAAAACTGTTCGATTATATTCAAAACCAAAACAATAATAGCCGTCCACTTAAACAGTATATGTATATTGCACATGTATATGCGCGTAATATTAGTGTTAAATGTTTAGGGGGGGCGGAGTTTTTATAAAGTTTAACATAATTTAACATAGTAATTATGCACCCACTATTTTATTTTGTATGTATATATTAATGGCAATCTATTATAATATATCTATGTGTGTTGTGGTGCGTCTACTTGTTGTTTTGGTTTAGAATACAGTTTGTATACTATGTAGAGTACAGTATACACACTGTATTAATAACAGTTATATACTGTATATATATATACAGCAAACAAGTGTTTGTTTATGTTATTGTTGTTGTCATCAGTTTAGCTGATAGTTGTAATAGAAGTGGCGGTCAATTAGTGACCAGTCATTGTCACCGTTACCGACGGTAATCCACCAGAATTCTAGTCATTTAAAAATCTCTAGTCATCAAACAATATGGTCTACTTATGGACAATGATCTCAATATATTATTGGACGACATCGACATCCGTATTGATAGTGTTTGTCGCGGATGTCATTTCAGCGGATATGTTGCCCGCATGTCATCCCGTATGTAGTTTGTTGTGACCATAAATCACATGTTTTTTACCGATTATTATCTCTCTCTCTTTCTTTCTCTTTCTCTTTCTCTCTCTCTCTATCGTCTTTCTCTATCGTCTTTCTCTTTCTCTCTCTCTTTCTCTCTCTCTTTCTCTCTCTCTTTCTCTCTCTCTTCTCTCTCTCTTTCTCTCTCTCTTTCTCTCTCTCTTTCTCTTTCTCTTTCTCTCTCTCTTTCTCTCTCTCTTTCTCTCTCTTTCTCTCTCTCTCTATCGTCTTTCTCTCTCTCTCTTTCTCTTTCTCTCTCTCTTTCTCTCTCTCTTTCTCTTTCTCTCTCTCTTTCTCTCTCTCTTTCTCTTTCTCTCTCTCTTCTCTCTCTCTTTCTCTTTCTCTCTCTCTTTCTCTCTCTCTTTCTCTCTCTCTTTCTCTTTCTCTCTCTCTCTCTCTCTATCTCTTGTCTATCAATATATCACATATAGGAAGACTATAAATACTCGTTTACCGAATGCGACGAATCGGGCGGTCGCTGGCGTGTATCGGTTCCCAATACGCCCAACACCTGTACTGGCGGTGCACCCAATCCGGCCACTCGGGTCGATAAGTGCTGTATGTCTTTGTTGTTGTCGATGATATTATATGTGACTTTTATTATTTTATTTTATATTTTTAACCAACAATCAGACACGTCCTGCGATTTTGGCCACTACTTCAACAGTTCCCGATTATCGTGCGAAAAGTGTCGGCCCGGCTATTATTCGCTGGGCGGCGGTATACGAATCGAGTCGTTCAATCGGACATCACTGCCGGCCGGCTTTCACATCACTACCGGAACCATCAATACGTCATCCGGCAGTTGCACTGGTATGTCGTATACTTCAAAAAATGATTTGATTGATTGATAATTATGTCCCCATTTGATTGATGATCACCATTGATGAAAACCAAAAAAGGTTGGCGAATAGCAACCAATTATCTTGAATCGCAGTCCAACTCGACCAGCGATGGCTGTGTATCGAAGCTGTCCTATACGGTCAGGATTGTCAAGAAAGGCAAACTGAGTTTCCGTTACCAGTACTCGATACCCGACGATCTTGCAAATGCCATACTGTTTACATTTCAATATCACAATTACGATGAATCGGGTGGCACTGACCGGCAGTTTGATCAGACATCCGATTCAAAGTTTCCGGCCATAACTGACGAACAACAGAAATGGCGTGACATTCAGATTAATCTACTGACACCCGGTCTCTATGTGTTTATCTGGCGATCCGTATTGATTGGCCGATCGAGAGGTTACTTTCCGAGTACTGTTGGTTTCCGATCGTCATCGGCGGCGGCGTCGTCCGCTTGGTTTGGTAGCCGAAGCGGCGGTTCTCCTCATTCGGATACCGGTGTTATTCGTATTAAAAATATATTTGTCGACGGAGTGGCCTACGCTTCCGAGTGTAGTCCATGCGAACCAGGAACCTATTCGCCGGCATCGGGTGCCGCTTCGTGTACACCGTGTCCGCCGAACACTGCAAACCCTGAACGAGCGGCCACCGAATGCCTGCCGTGCAGTTCGACCGACAAATATTCGCTGAAAGGGTCGACACACTGTATTAGTCGGCCGTTTTGCGGTCGCAATGATTACTATAGCATCGAATCGGAATGCGATTTAGTTTTGCATAAAAAAACTGTTGAATACAAATGGATTGAACCGAAGATATGTCACGACGTGAACAATGTGTTGCCAAAGACCAACACTACCGACTGCACGGAATCGTCGTCGTCCACAACTGATAACGAGTTGTCCACTCAATCGTGTAATTTAGGACAAGAACTTAGCGACGATCGAAAGTTGTGTCAGTTTTGCGGTAATAATCAATATCGCGATCAAACAATGTCAAAGTGCCAAACGTGTCCACCGTCGACAACACCGCACTACTCACTCCTGTATAACATATGGTATCCGTTGCCCCAATTTATGACTACCGAATGTATTCATATTGTCGACAACTTGGATGTCGAATGCGATGATTCGGAACTGTCGTCGTGGCTATCGAATCCCTATATCAAACATTACATACGTACGGGACCGTCGACCGAATTGGGCGCCTATCTGTTCCTGACGCTGACCGTACCGGGATTTCGTCGACCAAACGGCGGTCAAATTCAATTTAAATTTCAATTGGACTGCGAACCGGACGACTCGTGTTTCTTTATGTTTCTCGAGACCAGACATACCAGCGGCGGTAATAAACCGCAACAAAGTAATATTATTAAGGAATGGGATCATAAAACTACGGGTATTCAGTCCTATCGTTACGGTATCGATCGTAACATATCCGTAGCGTTCAGTTGGGTTTTCCAACGAAACTATAGTTTCCAAAGCAATGCAAAAATCTTCGAAATACAAGTGACCGATATTTTGGCCAATTCGGCCATCAAATGCAATCCATGTCCGCATTCAAACCATGCCTATTGTATTCCCTGTCCGATTGGTCAATACATGGACACTGGAGATGACAGCAATAGTAATAATAATAATATCACTGATAGACTGCACAAATCAGAGCCAATGATGGCTCGAAGTCGCAATCGTTTGCAAACAAAAGTCTTGGAAAAGTGCAAACAATGTCCGCCAAACCGTATTATCAATTCGAGTATTGCATTTCCAATTGGTTCCACTAATTCGTGCATTGATTGCGGTCTGGGTCTCAAAGATTACAAAGGGATCAGCTGTTACAGCGATTGTCATCTGAACATCGATGGCGATTCATTTGATTTATCTCAGGTTAGACAACCGTTGCTTCATAGAGGCGGCCGACTGTTTACGGCAAATGGTGTCCAATACTATCATATCTTTAATATAACACTCTGTGGTCAACCAGACTTGAAATCAATTTGTATTAATAACGTGACATCATTTGAATCGTCGTCGTCGTCGTCGTCGACGACGACGTCATCATCTGATTCATCCGTTGAGTCTACTGACGGGTCAGCAGAACCTGAAGAATATGCCATTCGGTCGATGATATGTCGGTCGACAATAATACCCGATAGAGATCAGACATACAGTTCACAGTCCGTTAGTTTAGGTTTGATTAAAAAAAAACACTAAAATTTTTATTAATATTTTAACAAACTATTTGATATATTATTGTCAACCAAAATAGGCGACCAATTGGTTGGTATAACACGATCGACACAATACCAGAACATTACAGTCCATCCGGAATTCCAGTCGACCAACAGTGACATACATTTCTATTATTCGACACCCGTTCCGACCAATGCCTGTCCCAGTGGCCGGCGGCTGACACTGACCTTACGATGCGCACCCGAACTCGACCAGAACTTAACAATTCGGACGCCGAATGCCTGTCCGGACGGTACGTGCGATGGCTGTACATTTCATTTGTTGGTCAAAACAAAGACTGCGGCTGCCTGTCGACTGTGTCGACCCGAAGATTACGAAACGGTTGTCGGCGAATGTCTGGACGGTGTCCAACAAATTCATTTGGTTAATCCAAAAGGTTGTATTATATCCACCGCCACCACTACTACTGATCCCGACTCCACGCCTACCGTACAGACCAGACACTGTTCAGTAATTCCCAGACAGGTTCAGTTGGGTATAGCATTGTTCAGCGCTGTCGGCGTATTGCTTATGGTTTTGGTGTTTCATTTCTGGAAGAAGAATCGTAGTCTTGAATACAAATACTGTAAACTAGTCGAAGGCAGCGATAAGTCTACCGGCGCTGAGTGTTGTGTCGATGACGACGATGAGGACGAGGAGGACGACAACGATGACAACGATAACGACGATCAAGTGATTATACATCCGAAGAAAAAACTGCCGAAAGATGTCTACGAAGAAGGCTATGAAACAATTCAATTGACTAAACATAGCGATAGAAATAATACTAATATTATTTGATATTTGTTTGTTTGTTATTGATTTGACCGGTAATTATCAATACATTTACCGATATATATATACACTATATATATATTTATATATTTATTTAAACACATATTATTTTAAAACAATCATTGATTTGATCTTTTTTTTTTTTAGTTGAAATCTATCGTTAATTTATTATTATTATTGAAATTTTTATGTATATTTAAAAATATATAGATATTTACTAACAAACAAAAAAAATATTAATAATAATCTCTGAAATTTACAATCTCTATACAGTATTTGTGACTGTATATCACACACACAATATATTTGGACCAATTGTTTGTTATTTATATTAATTTCTAAATAACAATATTAATCCGTAATGTTATCTCTTTTTTTTAAAAAAAATAATTAATTAATTAATTTCACTACAATTCCTATATTTTTATTTATCATATTGTTTTGACAATATGTTAGTTATTATTATAACTATTTAGTAATCAGTTTTTAGTAAAATTTAAATTATTTTATTTAATTAATTGATTGATTGATTGATTAAATGTCATTAAATCATATTATTATTATTAAATTAATCAAAAAAAATTATTTTCCATATAATAGTATATCAATTATCAATTGTGTATTAATTTTGATGATTATTATACAACATATATATATATATATATATATATATATATATATATTATATTATATAATACATTCCATTAATTTATTTGACATTTAAAGTGTATTTTTTATATACATTTGTTATTTATATATACTATATATTTATCAATACTTTAACCAAAAAAAAACAAAACAAAACTTACCGTAATTTTCCATATATTACTTAATTTACAATTTACTTTAATTAATTTTTATGTACTCATATTATTTAAAAATGTTTTTATTATGTTAATAATAATAATTATTATTATTATAATTAAATTATTTAGTATTTTATTATTTAGTAATAGTATTGTTTATTTTATTTAATAATAAATTTTAAAAAAATGTTATTTTAATGTTTGAAAAAAATTATTTATAATAAAATATAATATATTATATTGAATTTTTCGGATTGAAATTGTCATTATTTATCACTTATTTATTTATAAAAAAAAATTATTATTTATTATGAATTTGTTTTTATAATATAAGTATTTATTGTTTTTTAATAACTTTAGGTTATCTTAAACTTCTATTGAAAAATAGGTAATTTTTAATTATTTTTTTTAGTATTTTTAATATTTTACTAAAAATAATGTTATTTTTTAGATGAGTTTTAACTTGGATTTTAACGTGATTTTATTTATTTTTAATTAATAATTAGATTTATAAATCAATTTTAAAAACATAATAACATTTACTAAATGTTAGTATCAATTAAAATTAAAATTTTCACAAAAATTTTAGGTGGGGGGGGGGGTAAAATCCCAAAATCTCGATCTTAGGGGGGTATTTTGGCCTTACCCCCTTACTTAACCCTGATATATAAACTTTATATATATATTAATTTTATAGTCATTTAATGATTATTATACAACATATACTGTATATATATATATTTATATAAAGAAAATATAATTATATAATACATTCCAGTAATTTATATGACATTTAAAATGTATTTATTTTTTTTATATACACTTTTGTTATTTATATATATATATATACTTTAATCAATCAAACGAAATAATAATAATAATAATTACTATATTCTTATATATATATATATATATATATATATATTATAATTATTTTATTCAATAAATAAATATTGTATATAAAAAGTTATTGATTTAATTTTCGATAAAAAAAAATTTCTAACTAATTGTAACCAACACAACAACAACAACAAAATATGTGTCAAACAATGTTTTCAACAAACAAACAAAAATAATAATAATTATAATAATGGATATAATATTTAAATATTTATTGAAAAAAAACATAAGACATTTTAAATATGATATATTTTATATATAAATTATATATTACTTGATAAATACATGTTAAATTTGAGTAATTTAATTAAGTTTTGACACTAACTATAAACACATGTCCACTCAAACCCCCATACCCTGCATACCGATACCACGGTTATACTATACAGCACTGGTATCCCATTAAAATACCAGTGCATATATATACTGGTGACCCAATGTTGGACCTAATCGTCCACACATTATCACTACTACTAGTATAGTGTTTTTCAACCAACAAAATAAAATATAAAAAAAGTAAGTAAAAAACTTATTGTATTTTTATTAAACTTTAAAATTTAAATTTTTTTTATAAACATATATGTATTCTCATATTATTTTATATATTTTTATATATTAATATATGTTTTTTATTTACTGGTATTATATAATTGTAGTTTCTTTATAATAATAATAATAATTATTATTATTATTATTATTATTATTAAAAATTATTTAGTATTTTTTGTTGTTGTTATAATAACTATTATTGATTGAATGTGTTTTACTAAAGTAAAATAATATATATATTTAATTTATTAAATAAATTTTAGTTAACAATCAATCAATTAGCTAACCATTGGTTTCAAACATAAAAATAATATCAATTAGTATTAAATTTATTATCGTTGAATCATTGAAATATTAATTATAATTATTATTATTATTATTAAAAAAAACTATATAATTATTTATAGTATTTAAACTAATTATAACTATTTATTTATTTATTTTATATATTATAAATAATTATATAGTTTAATAATAATAAATAAATAAATAAATTTAATTAGTATTAAAATTATTATCTTTGAATCATCGAAATATTAATTTTATTTAGTTATTATTATTAAACTATATAATTATTTATATAATATAATTAAACTAATTATAACTATTTATTTATTTTATTTATTTATTTATATATTATAATTACAAATCACATGTTTAATACCTGTACTGTATATATACAGGTATATTACTAGACCATTGGCCATACATTTCTATAAAAAAATATAATTTAATTTTAATATACATAACACTAATACTAATACTGTTTATAACAAACTGTAAAACAAAACAACAAACAAAAAATAAAAACTTTTTTTTGTGTATTTTATTAATACATTAACAAAAACATTACTACAGTTTTACTTTAAAACCGCAAAAAAATTTTTATTTATTTTTATTATTATTTTTTTGATGAAGACTTCAGACTCTGATGATTATCATTGGATTTTTGTGGACGAAGAATAAGAAGAAGAAGACATACTAAATACTAACCACTAGTATATAGTCATAGAGAGAGAGAGAGAGAAAAAAAAAAGATAATTGATGTCCAAAACTATTAGATATAATGTTTAGTAAACTGAATCCGAAATCACTGAAAGATCTCAAGACGACGACGACGACGACGACGACTACACCGCCAGAGACTATCACTTTGGACAACACCGAAGACAATGACAACAACAACTATACACTTGAAGAGAAACTGGTGGTCAGTGTATGGATTCACGAGAGACAACGTCTGACGACGACTAGTAGTGGTGGTAAGTCTGGTGGCAACGATGACTTGAGGCTATACTTTCAGAAACGATTCAACAAACCGGCCCCGACTGAGGCCGTTATGATCGGTTGGGAGCGATCGGTATTTACAGACGGTTTGTTTCGTATGGATCCGCGGACTCCATCCAAGCCACCACCACTACTACTACTACCACCAATACAACCGCCATTGCCATTGAATTCACCACCACTTCCGCCTCCACCACCACCGCCGCCACCATCAGTCTCGCCGCCTTATACACCATCGACACCGCCTTATATGCCATCGACGCCGCCTTATATGCCATCGACGCCGCCTTATATGCCATCGACGCCGCCTTATATGCCATCGACGCCGCCTTATATGCCATCGACGCCGCCGTCACCGCCGATATTGCCCCGTAGGTACCAAACTAGCGGAAAACAACAACAACAGAAAGACTATCACAGCTACCGCCGCCGCAACCGACCACCACTGACGCCACCGTCGCCGCCGACATCGGTAAAGTCCCGTAAATACAAAGTTGACGCTCAACTAGAACAGCGAGACCGCAACCGAATGTATTCAGATTGGAGTTATGGCGGCGGCGGCGGTGACGACGATGGCGGCAATGGTTCCGGTATTGATAACAAGCGACGAACACCTTCAAGATCTCCATCTCATTCTTCTTCTTCTTCTTCTACTACTTCATCATCAACTTCTACATCGTCGTCCTCGTCGTCGTCATCGTCATTATCATCGTCAGCGCCGACCACACCATCGCAACTAACGTTTTACAAGACAGAGCTTTGCTGCCAATTCGCTGAATACGGTTATTGCGATTACGGCGACAGGTGTCTGTTTGCTCACGGCTCCGACCAATTGAAACCGTTACCGCCGACCAACTGTCAGTACAAAGTTCGGCTGTGCGCCAACTATCACGGCCTTCGTGGCTACTGTTCGTTTGGTAACCGATGCAAGTTTATACATTCAAGACACGAGGCAACCATTTCATGGTCCTCCCGCAACAGCAGCCGCTTCCGCACCGATAGTGGTCAACAACAACGACAACGATCGCCGTTCAAAGTATGTCGGATACAGCAGCGGAAGCGATCATCGATACGACTACCCAATGGCCGGCGAACCGATTGGGGTAGTAGTCGCAGGTCGTCCTCTAAGTAATGAACCGATAGTTTTTTTAGAGGACAGTTGACTTTTTTTTTGTTTTATTTACCGATAGTTTTTTTTCAATTAATTTTTTTATTTGATTTGATTTAGTGATAAAAAAATTATTAATAAATTTGTTTTTTTTGTGGATATTATATGAACTTTATATTTATAAATATTTATATATATATATATATATTGAAATTTTTTTTTGCTATATAAATGTGTGTATTATTATTATTATTATTATTATTATTATTATTATTATTATAAATTTGTTTTAAAAACTTTATAATAACCAAAAATTAAATAAAATTTCTATTATATAATTAATTATAATAAACATTGAAAATATTTTTAATTATGTAATAATTTTTTTATCAAAAAACATAACTAACTAATTAATATTGATTTTCTTAAAACAAATTTAAATATATTATATTCAATTTAAATATAATATATATATTTTTTTATTGACGTCAATATTTTATATAATCATTTTTTTTCATTAAAAAAAATTATAAGTTATTGAAAATATTGTAAATAATATAAAACGACTAAACATTTTGTAACATATAACTTATGTAATGTTTTTTTTAGTTAATTAAAAATTAATTTAGATATAAATTACTAATTAAAAGGAAATCATATTTTCACACAAAAAAAATTATATTAGAAAATTTCTAATTTAATTTTAATATTTAATTTTATTACTTTTTTATATTTTTTTCTTTACTATATTTATAATTATATAGAGTTTAATAAAATAAATTAAAACTTTTAAAATTGTTAACAACAACAAAAAATTAAGTCAAATGATAATAATTTTAAACAATTTTTTATAAAATATAAATAGATAATAGTATTAATAATTATTTTAATTATTTAAGTGATTTTAAAATTACTTACATATAAAGTTTAGTAAATTTTTTTGTTTATAATTAAAATTTTTAGAAAAATAGTTTTTTTGTTGTCGATAATTTTGGTCAATAAACTGTCAATTAATTGTCAATTTAACTATTTATTTATGATATAATTAAATATATATATATATAATAATAATTAATAGTTAAATAAAT